AAATTATTTACTAGTATTAAATTGTTTAGAGACCTAACATTTTGTACTTTGGAAACTTGTTAAAAATATATTCCTATTCCAAGTTGTATCAAATTAATATAACAAATACTTTGTAGTCACCTTTTCAATTAAATATTATACTACTTTTATAAAAACATATCAAAAATTTTATCATAAACTTAAAATGCCTGATTTTTTTGTGTGGAGTAAAATCCTAACCTGAACCAGCACAGGAGGTATAATCATTGATTCTATTTTGGGGGAATCTATAAATCTATAAAAATTATATAAAAAATTTTGTGTGTATTTGCATTTTGGAAAATAATCGGTTTTTAGCCGATTCTCAGAGGAGCCTGTTATACACAAACACAGTGAGATAATTATTAAAATGTTAGGTACATTTTATTATTATGCTCTGACTTACTTAGATCAAAGCATTTCATATATTTGGATTTAGTACATAGACTGATTATCATGAAAAATGATACTGCCATTGGAATTTTTAAAGTATTTTTGTGCTTAGTATTTTAAAGGTGCATCAATATGTTTTACATTAATTTATAAGGTATATTCTTTCTTCGTTATCACTAAAGAGTATTATTTTGTAAATTTTTAGAGGTAGTACTCATCCTTGGTGATTATAAAGCAATTGTCAAAGAAAATGGTGAAGACTCCCAGATAGCAGAATTTTTTTTTTTTTGGCTACCAGATTATTTTTCAAATATTAATTTTCTTTCAGTTATTATTAAAGTATGTGTTTCTGATGCATATTTTATTTCACCTGTGTTTTTCTTGTTTGATTTTGAAACAAAAATTATTAATGGAATCTTGGGAGAAAATGAAGCCCAGGGAATCTCTAAAATTTAAGTTTATTTTGTTTGACCCATAAACAATAAAGAAAACTGAAAACTAGAAGCAGAATTTTTACCGTGAAATAAATGTTTGAATCCTTTATGGAAATAGTTCTGTATGATAGAAAGCTATAAAAATACTGTCTGTTTCTAGCTATATAAGTGTTAAGTGTATGTTGTATTCATTATCTTTCCTCTGTAGAAATTATGCAGGTACCTGCCTCATGCCCTAGTTCTGTTGAATCATTCTTGTTATTTATAGACCAATTTTTTAAAAAGTTAAGGATAGAAGTGTTAATTTTCACTCCACTAGTCACCTCATGTGATTCATAGAAACTAACAAATAGTTTTTGTTCCTTATCATTTACATATTTATTTCTCATAAGATTTTGCAGTATAGGATTCTGATTATTATTTATTGAGGAATATTGTTTAATGATAGGTAGGGTTTGGGGCTATTTGGTCTTTTTTGGACAGAGTTCTTAAATGATCCTGAAAATAAGTATTTTAACCATGAATCTGATTTGTTTACAGATATTTGATATTTCTTGGGATTTGTACCAGCCAAATAAACTTGTCAGCTGTGGCGTTAAGCATATCAAGGTACTAGAAGGGTCTTGTTTTGTAATAGTCATGTTTGCTTCTCTGCCACTAAGCACTTACCATATTACAATATCAGATATATATGGAAAGAGAGAGAGAGGAGAAAGAGGGAGAGGGAAAGGGGGTGGATAAAAAAAAGATTACTGTGTTGCTCTCTGATATTTTCAAAGCTGAGTAGTTCCTTTACTTTGTAAAGCTTAAAAATACGAGAGATACACATTTAGAATGATTTGTTCATTTTTGGAAGAAAATAGGGAAGTCAAACATAAGCCTTCATGACCAGGGTCAGGGTGTTTATTCTTTTATGTGGACTCAGGTAAATTTTAATGTTTGCAGATAGAACTAAAGAAGAAGATATGGAACAGGGCAGGGATGTACACATTAAATAGTTCTGCATAAAGAAATTAGGCCCAGAGAATAAGTTCTACTTTATAAAAAGTAAATTACCACTGAAGATAATTCATTAATAGTATATACTTAACGATGTTCCATGATCCTCAGGATCTTATTTTAAGACCTAAAGATCTAGGTTTAAAGTCTGAATCCTCAAAGAATGAAAAATTATGACTTATCCATTCAAATAGCTAATGAATACTTTAATCAATGAAACTTTATGATTTTTAAATGTAAAAGCTCCGTGATTTCTGTGTGTAAATATAACTGGTTCTCTTCCTTTCAGTAAGTCCCAATTTCAGTCTATTATTTTCTTCCAAATCAGTGATTCTCAGCTTTGTCTGCATATTAAATCACCTGGGGGAAATTAAAAACAGTATAACCTGAGCTCCCACTGAGAAAAATTGAGACAGAATCTCTGGAGAGTGAAGCCCTGATATCCAAATGATTTTGATGCTTAGCAGGAGTTACGAACCATAGTTTGAGAATCCAGATCAGTGCTGTCCCATAGAGTAACCACTAGATACTTGTGGCTCTTGAGCTTTTGAAATGTAACTGCCAGTGTGATTGAAGAAATGAATATTAGCTTCATTTTCATTGCTAATCCATTCGCAACTTTTTACCTGTCTTTTTTTCCAGAAACCTAAGGGAAACATAGCATATTTTAAAAGTAATCTAGTTCAACCCCCCCTTATTCTTACAGTAAGGATTGAAAACAGTGATTTATCTGCTATAATATAGCTAATGGCAACACTCAGATGAGGATATGAACACTGAATGCTATTGTATCATAAGGGAATTTCTTAGGTAATTTCTAGTCTGCTGTTCTAATATAGCATCAAAGTATTGGAAATATTTTACATTATATTATAAGCATTCTTTGGTAATTTGATTATACTACATATCTTTTAGTTCTGGAGTTTATGTGGAAATGCTCTGACTCCAAAACGAGGGGTCTTTGGTAAGACTGGTGACCTTCAGACAATATTGTGCCTGGCCTGTGCAAGGGATGAATTAACATATTCTGGTGCACTCAATGGGGATATATATGTTTGGAAAGGAATCAATCTTATACGAACAATACAAGGCGCTCATACGGTAAGTATGTTTAAATATCTTAAACACTTTTAGATATTAACTACTTACCTAACTACTTACCTTCTTGTCTGGGAACAAAAGGTTCTATAATATAGCAGAATTTCTAATCAGTTCAGTTACTTGCATAGTACTATTACAATTGAATTAATTTGTCTATTTGTTTTCAAGATTTCAGTGAAGAAACATTATGCAATTAAATTAGCATAACTAGTATTTTGTTCAAACCATTGCTTAGTATGGTGTCTTTCAGTGTTGAAAAAAATTTATAAAATGTAACCTAAAGTTATTCTATATTAACCACATTAGAATACAACTAGTATTCTTGTAGCTAATTTACCAGTGGGAAAATTGGGGATAGTTCTGGAATAAAATTAACTTCTTTATTTTTATATCATTAACTCATTAAGTGAGTGGCAAAGGAATTTAATTTTTGTACTTCATGAGATTTTCATATAAATAACTTATCAAATCAGGTGAAACCATCTGTTGTTGAAACCTGTGTGATCTTTGATTTGGGCTTTTTAGCAGTTGGGTCCCTCACGCAGTAAAGAGAGCTAGAGCATAGAGCTACCATATTGCTAGCAGTAAGACCTCCAGTAGAAAAGCTATTAAATTTATTAATATGAATCACTATTAAATATATATTACATATTAAGTATATTAAAGAACTACTTAGAGCAGGCCTTGCTTTAAGCAAAAATACCTGAAGACCAGAAACAGCAGATTCCAGCAAAGGTTGTGGCAATTCACATTTCTACCATCAGTATAGAAAAATACCAGTTTCTTTCTCGTAACCATCAGCACAGGATATGTCCACTATTGTAAATTTTTGCTTGTCCTCTGGTTAAAAATAGTATCTTCTTAATTTTCTTTCCTATCTACTTACGAAATTTCTTATATTTGACTACGGTTAACCCTTGAACAACATGGGTTTGAACTGCAAGGGTCCATTGTGTACGGATTGTTTTCAGTAGTAGTAAATACTTCAGTACTACACAGTTCATGGTTGGCTGAATCCATGAATACCGTGGAACTGCAGATTTGGAGGTACCTTGGATGTGGAGAGCCAACTCTTAAGTTATGCCAGAATTTTCAGCTGCACAGAGGGTCAGCACCCCCAATCCCTGCATTGTTTAAGGGTCATCTGTACTTGAATTTCGTGTTCTAGTCATTGGCTTTTCTTATCCTTTGCCCTTTTTTTGTTACTGTTGTTGTTGGATTTTCTTTCCTTTATTCATTTGTATGTTAGGGATATTAACCTTTTGACAGTCATACATATTGCAGATATTTCCCCCAGTCTGTTTTTACTTACATCTTTTCTCATATGAAAAGTTGAAAATTTTTCCTTTATGGCTTGTGGGTAATCTGCCAAGCATAAAAAATGCTCTCACAGCCCAAAGTTACAGGAGTGTTCATCTGACTCTTTTCTAACATATTTGTTTTATTTTTTACATTTAGAATTTTGTCCATCTAGAATTCATTTTTATATATGGCATAAGGTTTAACTTTCCTTTATGTTATGCTCATATCATTAAATACCACCTTGGTCATATATTGAGTTTCTATATATACATAGATTTATTTCTAGATTTTCATTTGTGTTTTCTGATGCACTTATTTATTCCTGTGTCATATAAAAATTTTTAAAAGTAGATTTCTACCTTCATATATAATAGATTTTCTTAAGAAGTATGTATTGTTAACAATTACAAGAGTTTGATTTATGGTAAATTTGATTACAGTTCCTTTCTGAAATGCACGATAACTGAGTCATGAAATGTTTTCCATGAATAAGTTGAAGCAGAACTTACGAGTGTATTTCCTCTGTGGTATGTGTTCACTGTAAATCTTAATTCAACCTGTAGAGTCACATTCTATAATTTTACACTTCCATGGTGAACAACAACTCTGAAATGGAAAAACAGTCCTATTTTTGTTTTGAATACATTCTACTTTATATTAAAAAAAAGTATGAATTGTTAAATTATTTTATTCTCTCTTCTAGGCAGGAATTTTTAGCATGAATGCTTGTGAAGAAGGCTTTGCTACTGGTGGCAGAGATGGCTGTATTCGTCTTTGGGATTTAACTTTTAAACCAATTACTGTGATTGATCTCAGGGAAACAGACCAGGGATACAAAGGTAACAACAAAATAAATATTTAATTACTAGGCAAATTTTAAATGTACCAAGGATTGTCTCTTTCTTTCAGCAAGCTTAAAAGTATGTTTTATAAATATAAATGAGACTTATATTTGTACCTTCATACTGTATACAGTTAATTAAAATCCTTCTGCTGAAGAGAAATTTTGCCTAAAGACTGTCTGAGTTTACTGTTATGAGAAAGATTTATGTCTAATGCCTATTATAATGGGACCTACAGAGAAATGTGATAGGTACTTACTTTGGCAACCTTAAATTTTGAAAATATTTTACCATTAGAATACGAAATGTAACTGTTTAGCAAATAAACTGTTGAAAATAAAGTGTGTTGAGGGTTAGGGGAACTTTTGTTCAGTATGACTTAAATGCATGTAGATGTGTTTTTCTTTCATCTAAATTTATCAGCAGTCAAGAGACATTTTTTTTCTTTGGGGAATTTTTAAAAATTAATGTAATAAAACAGAATCTTTCACTATAAAATAAACATATTATCCCCTTGTGTGGTATTGTAAGAGTAGGATTAGAAATTACACAAGTCTATGTTTAAGCCATGTTTCAGTCACTTATTAGATGTGTGACCTTGGGCTGCATACGTCATCTGTAAAATGAGAACAAGAATAACTGTGAAATAATAGTAAGAGGATTAAATGAGCTAATATATGTAAAATACTTAGAAGAGTATCTGGCACGTAATAATCATACAGTAAATGTTAACTGTTATACTGTTTTCATTAGTTTTGTTGAGTGTTACTGTCCTTTACAGTTTAAAGAATAATTTGATACTTTTTCTTATTTGATCCTCACAACAACATTGTAAGTTACACAGCAACTTTTTGTTGGCCATACTATATAGATAAGAAAACTAGGGGAAACACTAGCTTTTCTGAGATTACAGAGGGATTGTATGCAGAAAAAGTAGAAGTTTCTCTTCTCAGTGATTTTATGAGCACAATGAAGAAATGAAATACAGACATGTAAAATGTCAGATTATTATAAGAGAAAAATAACACAATTCTATGAAGGTAGTTACTGAATAATTACTTTTTGGATGATGCAAACTGTGTTATAAGGCTTTGGCTGAGGAAGTGGTCAGACTGTGACTGATGTTGTCTAATAAGGAAGAGAAGTGTCTGTCCTGAAGGATGGGCAGAAATTGGGGTATATAAAAATAGAAATATTCCATGTAGAAAACAGTATGGATAAGTAAAGAAAACGTGTTGATCCAAAACTTGCAGATTCCTTTTATTTTACATCTAAGGTATAAAAGGTAGAAAAATTAGTAGTGGTTTAGGAAGATTGGCATTCTGTTATTATAGCCTTGATCTTAAATACAATTCAATTTTGACTAGGTTTATCTGTAAGGAGTGTTTGTTGGCGAGGTGACCACATTCTGGTTGGAACCCAGGACAGTGAAATTTTTGAAATTGTGGTGCATGAAAGAAACAAACCTTTCCTAATTATGCAAGGGCATTGTGAAGGTGAACTTTGGGCACTTGCCATCCATCCTACTAAACCTTTGGCTGTGACTGGAAGTGATGATCGTTCAGTCAGGTAAGCAGATCATAAAGTAATTACATAAGCTGGAATTTGTCCTTAGGTACACATAAGAAAAACTTTTTAAAAAATACTTAGACTTAAACTTCAGCTTATGGTATAACAAATGAACATAATTAATAGGTGCTTAAAATTCATAGAGATAATAACTATTTATAAGATTTGGGCTTTTCTCTTATAAAACCTATGTGGAGTTTGTTCCATATCAGAATGTACAGAACTATCTCTGCTTTTTAACAGCCATGCAGTATTCCACTGTGTAGGTATACTGTAATTTATTCAATTAATCCATCATTGATGGAAGTTTAGGTTCTTCTAGTTCTGTGGTATTAAATACATTGTTTGTAGTGAGTACCTTTATACCTATGTCACTTTGTACACATGTAAATATGAATATTTCTGTAGTAAATTCTTAGCAGCGTTCAAAAGATATATGCATTTTAAATTTTAATAGATAATACCTTACATAGAAGCAATAACAATTTACATACCTATCAGCAATGTGTAACAGTACCTCTCTTCCCACACCCTTGCCAGCACTAATTATTACCCCAAAAGGTGAAAAATAGTATTTTGTTATGTTTTGAAAATATGCTTTTCTCTCATATTGAGGGGTCTTGAGTATGTTTTTTTCCCATACATATTTTTGCCCCAATGTAATTTCACTTTACGTTGTATTTGTTTACTGCTTTCTCAGTAACGTGTTTGAAAATATTCTAGCCTGTAGCTGTTCCACAAAGATGCTAATTCTTTATCACTTCAGACTTGGCATTGACTCCTCAAATAACCAACTGAATAGTATTGGTAACATCTGTTGACTCATCAAGACTCAAGGAAAAACACTCAAAATTATTTGCCTTGTTTTTAACTAACTGTTAGTGTTGTTCCCAACACCCTCAACTCTGTAAGCAATTGTTCTTGCCAAAAGGCTGATAGTCTTTAACAGGTTTATTTTTTTCTGGACACATTTCTTCAGCTGCTGCAATCTGAAGTAATTTAGATGATCCATTACCAATAAACAGCTTTCTTTGCTTGTCTAACAAATGAGCCACGCAGAAAGTTGCTTTTTTAAGTAAAATGCATTTTAATTTTTAAATTTGTAAAGAAATTCTGCTGTGGTGAGGTTTTTTTTTTTTAAATTTTCTAGTTTTTCTGACCATTACTTTCCTGGGAGTTGAAAATATTGTGATGAGTGCTTAGTCTGGTAATGTTGATGTACATTTGTATTCTTTTAGAACAACTATAGTGTCATTGCATCATAAACAATGCTTTACCATCTAATTCAATAACAGTGTAATCCATACTCCACTGTGCTTTAAAAACATAACATTTGAAGTTCACTGTTCTTTTTTTTTTCTTGTTTTGACATAATGGGTATGTACTGGAAATAAAAAAGAGTAAGATGTCATGATATAATAATGGACAATATACAAAGCAGAATTTCTCTCAGGCTGTAATTGTGTCACTGCAGTTTGTAGTGCTTAAAAGGAGCAGTGCAGAGTGATGTGTGTCACGTACCATCTACTGTCTGTTTTACAAGGACTCATCGCTGCTTCTTTAGTGTGAAAGCAGCCATGACAATATGAAGACAAACCATTGTGGCTGTGTTCCCATAAAACTTGATTTGTGGACACTGAAATTTGAATTTCATATGATTTTCTCATGTCTCAAAATATTATTCTTTGAAAGTTTTTTTCAACCATCTAAAAATGTAAAAACAAGGAGGGGGATCAAGATGGCAGAGTAGGAAGACATGGAGCTCATCTCCCCCGACAAACACATCAAAAATACATCTATATATGGAACAATTCTTATGGAAAACTAACTGGAAACTGGCCGAAGAACTCCTATACAACCAAAGCTGCAAGAAAGATCTTCATGTAACTGAGTAGGATGGGAAAAAAAGGCATTGGGTTAGGACCTGCGCCTCTGGGAGGGATCTGAAAGGAAGAGAAGGTCTGCATGGGAGGTCCCTTGCCCTGGAGAGCGAGCAGGTCGAGCCACAATCTGGGCATCCTAGTCCTGGGAGCCTACATAGTGGAGATAAGCCCCCTTGCCTGCTGGGATAACCACTGGGACAGACATAAGGGCTGGAAAATCCTAGACTCTACTTGAGAGGAGTGCATGCATGCTGGGTTGCCACCTGGGCGGAAAGACCCTTGCACTGGTGACTGCCACCTTGCTGCACTCCCCTACTCAAATGGGGCAAACACAGGGGCTCTGCTCACTCCACACCATAGCCTGGTGTGAGATCTGGGTCAACCAGGCCCTGGGAAAAGATGCAGAGACAGACTGTGGGGCTTAGGGTGTGGCCCAGCTGGGGCGTAGGTGACCATAGTCAGCACGCACAGAAGCATGCAGCAGTTCTTCTCTCAGCGACATTGCCCAAGCCCTGCCCACTCCACCCCACAGATTAGTACTAGATCTGGTGCAGACAAGTTGTGGGAGAAGACTGCTGCAGAGGTAGCCCAGATCTCTGGCAACAGTGCAGCTTCCTCAATTCCTGCAGCCACAATATTCTGACCCTCAGACCCAGCCCACTCCAAAACACAGCCTTGCGCTAGATCTGCAACAAACATAACAGAGGAAAGGATGCAATCTTGGGCTGCTTCTGAGTGGAGCCGCTGATGCCTACACAGGCAGCTCATAGGTCCTCTATGAGAGCAAATGCCATACATGATTCAGCAGTCACCTCCGGGGAGGGGGTATAGCTCATTGGTGGAGCACGTGCTTAGCATACACAAGGTCCTGGGTTCAATCCCCTGTACCTCCATTAAAAAGTAATAATAAATAAGTAAATAATTAATTACCTCCCCTCCTCCAAAAAATAAAAAAAAACCCAAAACCAAAAACCATATACAGTCACCTCCTTTAGGGCAGAGCACACACTCAAGGACAGTGAAGCCTGATTAACCCTGGCCCTTAGGGTTTCTACTCCAACAACTGAGGAGCAGACCCCATCCCTGACAGTGTGAGGATAGCTAAGGAGCAAAGAGGAAGCCCTGCCTCACACCCTGCACAAGCTTTAGACCGTCCAACACCAACTACAGACCCTATCAAGGGGCTAACGACCAGAGTACCCTGAGGAAAGACATGGCTGATGTTCACACCTAAGATTTAGGACACACACAGTCTACACAGGAATGCTCCCACATGAAAACATTCCTGTAAGACTACAGTAGATAACTTTCTCCTAAATTCATAGAGACAGAGAAAGTTAAGTAAAGGAAAAGTCAGAGGAAGTACTCCCAGTTAAAAGAATAAGAGAAATTCCCTGAAAGTAATGAAACAGAGCTCAGTCTACCATCAGTCAAGTTCAGACAGGTGGTAATAAAGATGCTAACTGAATTAAGAAAGATTACTGATAAAAATGCAAATCACTGTAACAAGGAACTATCAAAAATAGACAATTCAAAATAGACAACACAATTCCTGAGGTGAGAAGAAGTCTAAAAGCAATGAATAGCTGACTAAATGACACAGAGCAATGAATAAGTGATCGGGAAGATAGAATAATGGACATCACCTAATCAGAACAGCAGACCGAAAGACAAATAAAATAAAAATGAAAGCAACATTGTAAATCTATGGGATGATATAAAATGTGTCAGCCTATGCATGATAAGGATTCCAGAAGGAGTAGAGAGAGAAGGGGATCTAAAATGTACTTGAAGAAATTGTAGCTGAAAACTTCCCAAACCTAAAGAAGGAAACAGATATCCTGGTCCAGGAAACACAGATAGTCCCAAATAAGATGAATCCAAACAGACCAAGACACATCATAATTAAAATGGTAAACATTAAAGATGAAGATTCTAAAGGCAGCAAGAGAAAACAAAGAATCATTTACAAGGGAACTCCCATAAGACTAACAGCTGACTTCTCTGCAGAAACTTTGCATGCCAGAATGGAATGGCATGATACAACCTGGGTAGGGTATTCTACCCAGCGAGATTATCATTTAGAATAGAAGGAGACATAAAGAATTTCTCAGGGAAGCAAAAACTAAAATATTTCAGCAATACTAAACCTACCCTGTAAGAAATATTGAAGGATCTTTTCTAAATAGAAAAGCAGCAAAAATCTGTAGGAAAGGGAAAATCATAATAGGAAAGGCAAATATATACAGTAAGGATTGAAGATCACTTAAATAAGCCACTATGTAAATTAAAATACAGTTAAAAAAATGTACAAGCAATCATGGCTACAATAAACAGTAAAAGGATAAGCATGAAGATGTAACATAGGACATCAAAATCACAAAATATGGGGGAGGGGAGTATTAAAATGTAGATTTTTTTAGAATGTGTCTGAACTTGAATGACTATCAATTTAAAGCAAGTAGATATAGTTATGGGCCAACATACTTGAACTCCATGGTAACCACAAATCAAAAACATACAGTAGATTCACAAAAACCAAAAAGAAAGGAACTCAAGGATACTACGAAAGAAAATTATCAAACCACAAAAGGAAAAACAACAATAAGAAATAAGGTCTTATGGGTCATTCTGAAATAAAGATAAAAATTTTAAATAAAAAAAGAAAGAACAAAAACAACTGGGAAACAAGGGTTATAATGGCAGTAAGTACATACCTATTAATAATTACTTTAAATGTCAGTGGACTTAGTGCTCCAATCAAAAGACAGAGAGTGGCAGATTGGATTAAAAACAAAAACCGGTAATATGCTGCCTATAGGAGACTCATTCAGAGTGACAGACACAAACTGAAAGTAAGAAGATGGAAGAATATATTTCATGCAAATAGAAAAAACAAGAAAGTGGGGATGGCAACACTCATATCAGATGAAATAGACTTTAAAACCAAGGCTATAAAGAAAGATGAACCTCCTACACTGCTGGTGGGAATGCAATTTGGTGCAGCCACTGTGGAAAACAGTATGGAGATTCCTCAAAAGACTAGGAATAGACTTACCGTATGACCCAAGAATCCCGCTCCTGGGCATATATCCAGAAGGAACCCTACTTCAGGAT